TGACCCTGGGCAAGTCACTTAACCCTGTTTGTTTCCTCATCTGTAACATGACCTAGAAAAGAAAATGGCAAACCACTTCAGTATGTCTGCCAAGAAAATCCCAAATGGGTTGATGCAGAGTTGAACATGAATGAAAAACAACTGAACAACAAAGCAAAAATTGTGTTTTAAAAGTGTATTTGTTCTATAAGGAAAGTAATGTTAAGCATATTCATCTGATAATGATAGTTCACATATGCACACCAATATTAATTTCATTTGATCTTCACAACATTTGAGTTAGGTGCTATTATTATATCCATTTTACTGGTGAAGAAACTAAAGCTGAATAAATCATAAAGATTATATATCTAGAACCAGAAGAAAGTCATCTTGGTCCAGCCTCCCTCATTTTATAGATGAGGAAACTGGGGCAAGAAAGTTAAGTGGTCACACAGCTAATGAATACCAGAAGCAGCTAGGGTGATCAGAAAGTCCCAAGTGGGGATCTTGGAAGCCTCTGGGAGTGATACGGCACCACTCAAATCAGGACACCTCAAGCTCAGGGGCTCTGAGGTCCCTAGCATTCTGTCCTGAGATGCCAGAGAGGGCCCTGAAGATGCAGCATTGTGAACTTCAAACATCGAGGGGTGGGGAATAGAACTAACTCTGGGAAACGGAGGTCAGAACCTCGGTGAACCAGGGCAGGTCTTAGAAGGGACAATCACACAAGCCCAGAAGCACAGCAGGGGCTAGCCTTATCCTGACACAAAATCCCAGACCAGGAATTAAGACTAGGGAAACGAGTACAATATATAAAACACTAACCAGTATGAAATATAATTGTAGATCGATAGATTCCCCCCAAAAGAGAAAGGGAGTAACTCTGACCTGCAACCAGAGACTCCAAGAAAAAGATTAATTTTTTTCCACAAGGTCAATCAGTACTTAAAAACAAAATGAAGCAAGAGATAAAAAGTTAAATAAAAGCTCTTTAGGAAATAATTGGAAGGAAGGGGCAGCTAGGTGGTGCAGTGGATAGAGCACCGGCCCTGGATTCAGGAGGACCTGAGTTCAAATCTGGCCTCAGACACATAACACTCACTAGCTCTGTGACCCTGGGCAAGTCTCTTAACCCCATTGCCTAGCCAAAAAAAAAAGAAAAAGAAAATAATTGGAAGGAGAATAAAGAACCTAAAAGAGAAAGTAGTAAAACTTGCCCAAGTAACAGACTCCCTGAAAACTAGAATTGACCAAATATAAATCCACAACTCCATGAGACAGTAATAAATACTAGAATAAATTTTTAAAATTGCAAAAATATAAAAAAAGTAAAATATCTGATAAGAATAACTATTGGCCTGGAAAACAAATCTAGAAGAGATCATTTAAGAATCATGGAACTCACTGAAAACTATTTTTTTTTAAAGCCTGGACACTATTTCAAGAAAACATAAATAATAACTGCCTAGATCTTTTAGAATCAGAAGTCAGACTAAAGATAGAAAAAATCCACCAATACCATTCTGAAAGAAAGCCCCAAATGAAAAGCCCTAGAATTGTCAGAGACCAAATCCAGAGTTCACACATCAAAGAAAAAATACAGTATGCATGCAGAAAAAAGCAGTTCAAGTACCAAGGAATTACAGTCAAGATCACATAAGACCTGGCAGCTTCTCCTACAAACAAGAGGCGATCTTAGAATACAATATTCTAAGACAAGATAGGTAGATTTATACCCAAGAATAATTTGCCTTGCAAAGCTAAGTGTAATCTTACAGGTAAGGAAAAAAAAATGGATTTTAATGGACTTTAAGGGTTCCTGTTGAAAAGATCAGAGCTGAGTAGAAACTTTGAAATATAATTGTGAGATTCAAGCCTAGAAAGATAAATTTATTTGAGTAATTGGAAGGGGTGATATGAGGATTTAACACTAATTCTAACATAGGAAGAAGAAACAAAGGTCCCTTCAGAACCATCATGTCCTCAAAGGGTATTGAGGGAGTACAATGAGAAAAACACAGACCCTGGGGGTAGATTGGTTCTGTTCTGAGGTTATAAAGAGGAAAAAGAGAAGGGAAGTTAAAATGTATGTTAGGATAGAAAGATGGAGCTGGAACTTGCTACATCTCATAAAAGAAGATGGGTATCCCGACATGAAGGAAGGAATGGAGAGAGAGGGCATCACCTAAAGTTCCTTGTCATCTGGACAAGGAAGGGTAGATGAACGAACAGACACAGACACACACATACACACACACACACACACTCTCACCCACACCCACCCCCTCTGCCTACGCTTGGACACAGAAAAAAAAGACCCAGGAGAGAAAAAATGGGGAAAAACTGATGAACCAGAAATTTGCCAAGTTCGAGATGAGTAGAAATACTTTTTCCACCTTTTCCAATCATTTGGGGCCCTATTCCCTACCCAAAGTAGTGAGCAACTGGAGTTTATGGAGTGTGAGGGAGGTGACTTGCTCTTTAGGAAAATCACTTTGGCAGCTGTGAGGAGGATGAATGGAGCAGGGAGAGGCTTTGAGGCCAGGTAGGGAGCAATTAAGAGGGAATTATAATAGTTCAGGCAAGAGGTACCGAGGGGCAGAACTAGGAAGGCGACTGTGAATAGAGAGTAGGTCCAAAACGAGGCATGTCATCTCATAATGGTAACAAATCTAATTATTTCAAATTGGCAACTGAAAACAGAATAGTGAGCACCTGAAAAAAAAATTGTCAGTGCTGCATGTGATAACAGAAGGTCTGTGTTGGTCTAATGCCAAATGAAATTATAATATAGTTTAAATTTTATTACCTAGTACTATTTCAGCACCTGGGGGTGGGTGGGGAGAGGCCCACGAAAAACAAAAACTACAAGCAGAAGATTTAAGAAATCTTATGAATGAGTTGAATATGAATATCCTGTCATACAAGCCTAAACACTTCAGTGCAAGCAAATAGTAGTCTCAGATAGTTTTCATCAATTGTCCACAGCTATGATATATAGTAGTAACCTTAGAGAACCAATTAAGATAAATTATATATTTTATAAAAGGACCTTAGAGGCCGTCTGGTCGAAACCCTTCATTTTACATGGGGAGAAACAAACCAAGAAAGGTTAAGTCATTTGCCCAAGGTTACTCAGGTAGATAGATCTGTGATTTGATCTTGACCCTCCGCTGTAGAGCCCAGGAGACGTCTGGAGGGTCAAGCTGTTTCTCACATTCTTGGCTGCAATTTTTACAATCTTACCTGAGGGTGCTGACAAAACCCCCTCACCCCATACCCCACCGAGAAAGAGAACAAAAAAAAAGGAGACACTATAAAATTGATGCAAAAGTAGGCCAGGTTTGAGAGGAGAATTAATAGGTTCTGTATTTGCTCATATAGGGGCAGCTAGGTGGATAGAGTGTCAGGCTTGGAGTCAGGAAGACCTGAGTTCAAATCCAGCCTCAGACACTTACTAGCTATGTGACCCTGGGCAAGTCACTTAACCCTGTTTGCCTCAGTTTCTCTATCTGTAAAATGAGCTGGAGAAGGAAATAGGAAAACACTCCAATATCTTTACCAAGAAAACCCCAAATGGGAACACAAAGAGTTGGACATGACTGAACAACAACCAATTTTTGTTAATGCTACAGTCCTCTTCCCAAATCATCCATTGATCAAAATTTGGATGCCATCTCTGTCTCTCTTGCCCCCACCCCATCTAATTAGTCACCAAGTCCTATTATTCCTTTCTCAACAATATCTCTAGAATATATATTTTTTCCAGTCTCACTGCTTCCACTTTCCTTCAGGCTCTTATAATCTCTCATGTGGACTACTACAATAACCTAAAAAAATCTCTCTTCACTCTATCCTATGACACTGGTGTCAGATCAGTCTCCCTAAAGCACAGGTCTCAGTAACAGTTGGTCATCATCGTGACCCTGGACAAGTCACATATCCCTTCTTGGTTTCACTTTCTTCAAATAAGGAAGTTGAACTAGATCTGTAGAGACCCTTTCCAGCTCTAAATCCTATGTTCCTATGATCCCTTACTCAGCAAGGTAGTTATATCTCTACAGAGTTTATCGGTCTTCCATTGACTCCTACTGACTCCCATTACAAAAGGAGAGAGATTCTATTTGCAAAAATGAGGATAGAAGCTTAATTTTCAGTTTTTTTCTCTTAATCGACATCTCAGCTAACAGTGTATGAACATGAGCACTGTTGCCTTTTTAGGCAACTGGGTGACACAGTGGATTCAGGGATGGATCTTGAATCAGGAAGACCTGACTCAAATCTTACCTCAGAGATTTACTAGCTGTGTGACTCTGAGCAAGTCACTTAACTTATCTTCCAGGGTTGTTGTGAAGCTGAAACAAGATAATATTTGCAAAGAGCTTTGCAAACTGAAAAGATATAGATATACAAACACATACATTTGTATATATAATGTATATCCACACACACACACACATATACATACATATATCCTATCTATCGATATTTTTCTGACAATCTTGGAGGTTGGTACAACTATTTCCAGTTATTTTTAAATAGTTCTGACTCTTACCTCAAGTCTACCTTCTCTAACCCATCTTCCACACAACTGCCAAAGTGATTTTCCTAAAGCATAGATCTGACCATGTTGCTTCCTTACTCAATCAATTGCGGCAACTCCCTATTGAAACTAGAATCAAATATTATTTTGTCTTTATCTCATCCTCTTTTAATTTCTATTTTATGCAAGCATTATAATTTAAGTTATTTGGTAGTATATGTATATAAATAGGTAGACACAGATTGGGGATAAATGTTAAAAATAAAATGTTTTACCGACACTACTACATGCTCAAAAAAAGTGTGAAGACCTTTGATCTGGAACATTGCCCATGTTCAATAAATGTTAAATTCTACCACAACAGAAATGAGTTAGTGCATGATAATTAACAGTGGTTACCAGTTCATAATTTTGATATTAACTCTATACTTTAGTTTTCCAAATTGAAATGTAATGTTTCCTGTTTTTGGATCAGGTACCTCAATCAGGAATCCTGAAGCTATCCCACTTGCGAGAAGGAGTATACGTCTTCCAGCTGACTGTGACAGACACTGCTGGTCAGAGGAGCTCTGACAATGTCTCCGTGACTGTACTTCCCAAGGCACAAACTGCAGTAGGTGAGGGGGAGAAAAATGAAAGTATCAGTGGAGGATAATTCAACCAAAAAAAAAAAGCCATTTTTTTTATGGATCTATAGATTTCCTATAAGGGCTTTTGTTGGTTGTTCCATTTCATTTTCTGAAACCCCAAATCTGATATCATTTCAGGATGATTAACACTTCAGTATGGGCGAGATAAGAGGTCCTTATTTCTGGAACTTATGATAAGATGGTTAATGGAGTGTGGGAGTTTCAGGGCATAGTAGAAGCCCCATCATTTCTTTATTTTTCCTACTTCTCCTAAACTCTCAGCCTCTTATTGGAAAGAATGTTACTTAAAGATTGTTGATACATTTAGTATGTGTCTGTACAGCTATATACATGTCTATATGTAAATATAAATATGTGTTGTATATCACAACCCATATATGTATACACATACATATATGTATGTGTGTGAATGTGTCTGTGTGTATTTCCTGGAGAGCCTCTGCCAAGATTTAATTCTAAACAGATAAAAACAAATAAGACACGTTGCCAGGATTTTGTTTTGTTTTAATTATTTAAGAATATTAAGTGTTATTAGATATAAGTAATAAGAAATATATAAGTAATAATTTTTAAATATACAGAATACAAATCCAATACAAATTCACTGCCTTAACATTCACTTCTTTTGAATAATTATCAACCTTATTATCTTCTAAAAACTCCCCATTTCTAAGATGAAAGCATCAAGGGCATATAATAAACCAACCAATATTAGTTGCATGGATTGTTCACAAATGGCACTAGGCAATACTAAAGCTGGAGAAGTGAGATATCTAACGTTGTTTAACCATTATTGGGAAAGTTACTTTTGGAGAGATTTTACACTGGTAAGCCTGGGATGTTGCATACTCTTCCTAAGCTGCAAGCCTCTGGCAGTCTTGGACTCTCCATTATTTGCAAAGGAATTAACACAATGGGTTAAGTAATAAGGATGAAATATTAGAATATAAGTATAATTTCTCCATAACTGTTCTAGGCTCATATCAAAGATATGGCTCAGCACGCATATTAGAAAGAAAATTTTCTAAGAATTCAAAACCTATGGAGCCTGACAATCTTCCAGTGCATTATGCTTTTCATTGGAATTATCAGTTGCCAATTCTTCACTACATTTGTCATCTCATTGATGTGGGTATCATCTCTAGTGATGCTGATCATAATCCATCCATGCCCAAATTATGCACATTTTGTTTACATCTTCCCCAAAATTCACCATGTTGGGTCCACCCAACATGCTAGAGACAAAGTATTGGTCACAGAGTGAAAAAAAAAAATTGTTGACCATCTCCTTTGCCACCTATACTTTAAGCTTTCTATGAAGATGGGGTGTATGTGAACAGGTCAGACAACTCTTCTCCATCCCAGCAATGGGAGCAAGTGAGAGAATTCGCAGCTTTACCCATGAGCCAGCACGAGGCTGATGCTCAGTTAACCGCCACATGAATAGAGAGTAGACTTCCTGTCCCAGGTATGGGCAATTGATTAACAGCTGTTCCGTGTAAAGACTGATTGACTTAACAGTCTCTTGAGCACACATTTGAATATACTAGATATAAATCAGGAGAATAATAATAGCTCACATTTATATAGCATTTTATAGTTTAAGAGCACTCACATCTCTCACATACAGTTCCTTCTCTTCATTCACACAGCCACCTTCCTCGTTCTGCCCCTCATCACCTCTTACTTGAACTATTATAATAATCTCTTATTTGGTCTCCCTGCCTCAAGCTTGTCCCTGCTCCATTCATCCTCCTCACAGTTGCCAAAGTGATTTTTCCTGAAGAGCAGGCTGGACCATGTCCCCTCCCTCACACTCCATAAACTCCATAAATTACTTCTAAGATCAACTCCTCAGTTTCATATTTAAAGCTTTTCACAACCTTGCCCCATCCTACATATTCAGCCTTATTCTCCTTTACTGCTCTCCACACTCCATGGTCCAGTCATATTGGCTTTCTAGATGGCACCTCCTGTCTCTGTGCCTTTTCAAGGTCTCTACAGCAGGAAGGGTCTTCACTTTTCACTTCTACCACTTGGAATACAGAGTTTCCTTCAGGACTCAGGTCAAGAATCACTTTTTGCATGAGGTCTTTCCTGTTCCCCTCACCCCCTCTGGTAGAGCTTACCCCGCTAAGGTTACCTTACACCTGCTTTGTAAGTTATTGGCCATATCTATATGTATGTATGTTGCCTTCCCCATTAGAATGTAAGCTCCTTGAGGGTAGGTACTTTTATTTTTCTTTTGTCTTTGTATCCCAAGTTCCTGGCACATAATAAGCATTTAATAAATCTTGTTTACTTGATAAGTTGCTTCCTCACAAACCTGTGAGATAGGAAATTGTGCCCATTTTTTTGATCAGGAAGTTAAAGGACAGAAAGTTTAAGTGGCATGTCCACAGGTCACATGGCTAGTTTAGTGAACTTTAGGATCTAAATCCAGGCTTCTTGTTAACTAGGCTAGCTTCACTAGGCTTCCTCTCAAGAAGTATATGATAGGGGCAGCTAGATGGTGTAGTGGATAGAGCTCTGGCCTTGGAGTCAGGAGGACCTGAGTTCAAATCCAGCCTCAGACACTTAACATTTACTAGCAGTGTGACCCTGGGCAAGTCAATTAATCCTGATTGCCTCAAAAAAAAAGTATATGATACCTTATTCTCAGGAATCAAAGGTACCTGTGCTGACCTAAATGATTTGTGGTTAAAGCCCAGTACAATACAGGATTTGCTCTGGCTAGTATATATCAGGGTCAGAGGCCTTTCCAGGCATATGCCTAGCCAAGCTCCAAGTCCAATATTGATTCTAGAGAACCAAGATTTGGAACTAGGCTTTGTCTCTGTCCATATATAAAATAACAGGTGAATATATTCCTGGCCCCTAAAAAAAAATAGAAAAGGTTAATTTCTCTAGCAACCTAGGAGCACTGTTTTCTCCCTGGCTGGCTCTGTGAGTGTGTTGGGGGCAGGGAGAAAGTAGCCTAAGACAGACAGATGGCCGGCAACCAGCCAGGCATTTGTTTGCCTCCATCCATTCATTTGGCCAGATTCTACAGTCTCTAGTAGCAACTTGGCAATTATAAATGAGAAAATGTCTTTGAAGTTGCCTGGGACGAAGTGAAGTGAATGTCCTTTGAAAAGCAGCTTTAGGCTCCAGACCCTCACCTTCTTTCCAATGGCCTTGTATACCTCTACAAGAGCAAGCTAACAGTGTAGTTACTGCAAATGTTCTCTTGAGTCACTCTTACAGCTGGGGCTTTGTCACTGCCTTATGAATAAGATGTTAGGAATCAGACTCTGGGAGTAAAATGCTTTGAGATGCTGAAAACAGGAGGTGGAAACATTTCGAACGCTGCTCATCATTCTGCAACATATAATGACCTTGTAGTTCAGGCAGAGCTGCAGTGATTCAGGGCTAGTTCATTACCATATTGTCCTCATCACACGCCAGCAGGCAGCAGACACTGTTGATTGTGCAAAGAAATCTGGCTCAGTGGGATTAGATTTTGTATGAAGAGGCTGTGTATTTTCAAATGAGAAAGCTTGAAAAAGTATTCAAAAGTAACTCTTCTACACATGAGCTGACATTTTTGTGTGTTCTTAAATTAGGACAAATGGCTTATTTAAGTTTGCCAAATGTTTTCATTAACTCGTTGTTATCTAGAGTTTTCTTATGGTGATTTTGAAAAATGTAACCTAATTAGGACTGTGCTATCCCAGAGCTCTTCAGCATGCTTCCCATCCTTGTCTTGTATTTCTAGCTGTTGTTTCTCTCCATCTTCTCTGAATTCTCTAGAATACTTGCCCTATTCTCTTCTTCCTTCCCTGGTGACAATTACTGCTACTGCTCTCTTTCCTTACCCTCTTCTTTCTAATTCCAGTTATTCCCCAACTTCCTCAAGATCAAACATTTGCTTTTTCCTGACTTTTCCAGCTGTATAACTTAATCATTTATTTTTCTAGAGCAGAAATCTCTAAGGCTTTGCTTGGGCAAGTGCACTGTACCTTCTATTCCCTATCTAATACTATATTTGTGTTATAAAAAGAGCCATTTAATCCATCTTGTTCCTAAAACTTTTCATGATCTAGTTCTGGTTAGGTACTGTTAGTTGACAATATAGATGCTATACTGATCCTCAGTTTCTTCCTGTTGCTGCTAAGCTTTAATGAGACTGATTTAACTATGAGGAGATAAATTATCCTTCAAAAAAAAGGCCTTCTCTTTAGAAGCCCCAATTAGATAAAAGGTCTTCTTGAGAGCCCAGGAAGGAATATGATTTCATCATCTGGAGAAAATAAAATTGTCATTAGCAAGAAACCAGAAATTCTGGCAAGGCACTGCCCTAAGCCAAGGACACTGTGACATTTACTCAGAGGATGCAATAATCACAGGTTGAAGATTAACCAAAAGAAACTATTAGTGAGGAGACAAGAGTACACATATGGTATGGTGAGAGATAATGTCTGCTTTAAAAATAATGAAGTAGTGTTTTAAGATGTAGTATCACTAGTGTCGGAGGTAGCTAGAGAGCTCAGTGGATAGAGCACTGGGCTTAGAGTCAAGAAGACCTGAGTTCAAATCCAGCCTCAGACACTTACTAGCTATATGACTCTGGACAAGTCAATGAATGAATTAGTGAATGAGTATAGGGCTCCATCACAAAGAGAAGTATAAGACATTGGTCACTAAAAAAAAAGACATGGTACCCTAGCAAGTCACCTAATCTCTCTGGGCCTCAGTTTTCTCGTCTGTAAAACGAAAGGCTGGACTAAAGGATCTCTAAGATACCTTCTATCTCTAAATTTGTGATCTCCACTGAACCAGTTTTTACCCTTCTAGGGTGCCCCTCACTCAAAAACGGATTTAATTAAGATGTGTAGGAGGAGAAAGTCCATAGTGATTCATGGGTCATAGATTTTTAGGGGCATGAACAAGAATGCCAAGGGGAGAGATATCAACCCTCTTTTATTTATTCATTTGTCTGATTTTTTATGCCCTTTGTGTTTACATAAATCTTTTCTTTGTTATTGCTTTTTAAAGTTGATATCACAGAAACTTGCCTTGTTTGGTTCTGTCCTGTTCTGATCTTTTTCATTTTCTTCCATCTATTTCATATATGTGTGTGTGTGTGTGTATGTGTGTGTATGTATATGTTTATAAATATATAAATACATATTTTTTTTATATCTTATTGATGCTTTTTGGGGTATTTCCATAGCTTTCCATTAATCACCCCATCCCAAATTGAATCCCTCCTTTAAAATGAATGAGTATAGTCATATAAAATCCAATCCAATCCAATAAACAATAAAAGAAACCAGCACATTAACTATATCTGAAAATGTGTCTCATTTGGCAGCTGGAGTCCCTAGACTCACCAATTTTCCCAGAGTCTGTTAGTCTGACCAATTTTTAATTCTTTCTGCAGTAGCTGCATCCCTTTGACTTTGTATATTTCTTTTACCTGTTCTTGGTCACCCCAAACACTTCTAGAAGTCACAGCTTTTATGTACCCCACCCCAGATGTAGCTTAGCAGTGATTTGAGGTTTGCTTTATCAACAGAATGCTTGAAAGTTTGCTCGCGCTATCATTTCCTCTGTGATGACGGCTGCTGTATTGACATCACACTGGCTTGTGACGGAGTGGCTCAGTGCCCTGACAGATCTGATGAAGCTTTCTGCCAGAGTGGTAAGTGGCCAGGAGGGAACACCCTTGGTATTGGGGCTTGGCAGGCCAGGGAAGTGGATTTGCAGTACAAATGCCTGCATGATTATCTATAAGAAAGTAAACTTTTTTGAGGCAACTAGGTGGCCAAATGGATAGAGCTCCCAGTATGAAGTCAGAAAGACTCATTTTCCTGAGTTCAAATGTGGCCTCAGACACTTACTAGCTGTATGACCCTGGGCTAATCATTTAACCTCTGTCTGCCTTAATGCACTGGAGGAGAAAAATGACAAACCACTCAAGTATATTTGCCAAGAAAACCCCATGAACAGTATCAGTGTGCTATGGTCCCCGGGATCACAAGAGTTAGACACGACTGTATGACTGAGCAACAAATTTTATTCATCTAGAGATTGGGTGGGGTCTTTCATGTTGGTATTGTTATTGCCTACCATGACGATGACAATAACTGACATTTAAATAGTGCTTTAAACATTTACAAAGTGCTTTATATGTATTATCTCTTTTGAACTTCACCAAATCCTATGTGGTAGGTATTATGGTGGGGCAGGCTGGATGGCACAGTGGATGGAGTGATGGACCCGGCTTCAGATTTTACTAGCTATATAACCATGGGCAAGTCACTTAACCTCAGTTTGCCTCCGTTTCTTCCTCTATAAAATAGGAATAATAATAGCACCTACTGCATAGGGTTGTTGTAAAGATCAAATGAGATAGTAATTGTAAAGTGCTTGGTACAGTGCCTGGCACATAGTAAAAGCTACATTAACTATTATTATTGTCATTATTATTATTTCATTAAAGGTAAAGAAATGGAGACTTCAGTAACTTATGTGACTTTCTAGTGGTCCCACAGTAGTTAGATTCTGAGGCAGTATTTGAACCCAGGTCTCCCTGATTCCAAATTCTATCCACTATGTCACCTTGGCTCTCCCATACCTGCATGTAGTAAGCACTTAATAAATGTTCACTAAATTAAATCAAAAAAGAAGGTAAATGTGTAGACCCTTTGTCATTGATAACCGAATTTCCCAATCTAAATTTGCATTGTATGTATAATATAAAATATAGTGATGATTTGTCAAACTAATTGTTGATCAAATTTCAAATAGTAGTCTGTAATTCAGGGATTTCTCACATATTTGATGCTGCAATCTCCTATCATTGCTTAATATTTCAGTACTGTCTTTCCAGATCTATAAAGTGCTCATAGCATATACTTTTTAAAAATTTGCAAGTATTTATTTTCTCTCCTCAGCTTCTCCCCATTTAAAAATAATAATAGCAAAATCCTTATTCATAGTCAAAATACGCATAGTCAAGCAAAACAAATGCCCTCATTGGACATGTCCAAAAATGTATGCCTCCTTCTGTTTCCAGTCCATTCATACCCTGTCAGGAGATGGGCAGCCTGTATCATCATTGGTCCCCTTAAATCATGGTTGATCATTGCATTGATCAACATTCTCAAGTCTATTAAAATTTTTTATTTTTACAATAGTGTTATTATACAAATTGTTCTCCTATCTGTATATTTCGCTCTTGTTCATACACTCATCAGTTTGTACAAGTCTCCAGGTTTCTCTGGTACAATAGTATTTCATTACATTCATATACCATAATTTGTTCAGCCATTCTTCAAGTAATGGGCACTCTTAAAATTTAAATTAACATTAATTTTATTTTTGAAGTAATTTTTCAGATTTTTGTGACTGATGTTTGATATAATTTATGAAAACCAAATCATGTACTAAACCACTCTTCTAGTTGTAGGTACTACAGAAACATAACCAGGGGAAAAATAGCAGCATAAAAAAGGTTAATAAAAAAAAAGGTTAATAATGTTCACTGATTAAGAATCTGCAAATGTTGGGTTTGAGTATTGACTCTGTCATTAACTATTTCTGTTATTAAGCCTTAAAGAAAAAAGATCAGACAAAAATTGTCCATTAAAAACCAGAGATGATGGCATTTATGAAATTTTTTAATTATTTGAATTTAGAATTCTACATAACTCTAAAATTTCATCATTAGAGATAGACTGAGGAGTTAATGTTTTTCATTTTATTTTAATACAAAAAAAAAATCTGACAACTAATAATTAATATATCCCCATTCATTCAGTGAGTCCTGGCCGCAAGACAATAACTCATGCTGCTGTAAGTCCAGCCCAGCAGAGAACTGTGGGATTGACTGAAGATACAAACAGAAGTCTCCCTTCTCAGAGCATCCAGAAAGCCACAAGGAAACAGCTGCTTTCATCAGTTAATGCAGACAAGAGTAACCATTCAGTCTCTCAGGGACCAAAGAATCAAATGAATGCTTTAATGCCAGGTAAGGGCTTAAAAGTGTCATTCTCTAAAAAAATTTTTTAAATATTAATTTATAATCATCAGCAAACACAAACATTTCAATATACAAAAAAACAAGAAAAGGAATTGTATAGGGAACTGAATTTCTGTTGCCTATAGTTTTTAAAGTATATATTAAATTTAACAAGGTAATAATAGAATTATTCTATTTTTTATGTCCCTCTCTGAGCTTCTTTTTGTTTCCTTCCCTGCGTTTGCCAAAATATATTTTATTAATGCGCTTTGCTTTTTTTTTTTGCATTTCTATCACTACCCACCCAGCCCTAAACAGAGGTGCTCCTTTGTCACAAATAAGAATAGTCAAGCCCAACAAACCAACACATTGCTCATGCCTGAAACTGTGTTTCTCATTCAGCACCACCTCAGTTCACAAGGGTCTTCTCCTCTTTCTCTGCACTCATTGTATTTATTTCTTATGGCACAATAATATTTCGTTGCATTTACATACCAGAATTGTGCAGCCATTCCGAGATTGGTGGCTGCCCCTTATCCTTCTAGTTCTTAGCTACAACAAAAAGAACTGCTATAAATACTCTTATATGCATGAGTCCTTTCCCTATATCCTTGGCCTCCTGAAGTCATGTATAAGGTATATATTAACTCAGTTGTCTGTGGATCAAAGAATATATACAGTTTAATTATTTTGGGGATCTAAGATTGCTGAGTTCTTCAATAAAAGCAAAAAATATTTTTCTGTGGATAAATTGTGATTCACAATTGTTTGTACTTAGTTAAGAGAAATCAGACTATAGTTAAGGTTGAGAGTTCAACCTAATATTTTTGGTTTTTGTTGTTCAGTTGTTTCCATTGTGTCCAACTCTTTATGACCCCATTTGGGGTTTTCTTGGCAAAGATACTGGAGAGCTTGCCATTTCCTTCTCCAACTAATTTTACAGATGAGGAAACTGAGGCAAACCAGATTAAATGACTTGCCCAGAGTCACACAGCTAGTAAGTTTCTGAGGTCAGATTTGAACTCAAGAAGACGAGTCTTCCTGATTCTGGCACCCTTGAACTCTTTCCACTGCACCACCTAGCTGCCCTGAAAACCTAATATTATCTAGCTTTTGAACAGAGCTGAGTAATTGAGTCTTAAGAGTTGAAAGGAATTTTGGAGGTCCGCTGTTCTAAGTTCCTGCCCTCTAAAACATCCAGCCTCTGTTTAAACATGTCTAGCAACTAGAAGTTCACTGTCTTATATGGCTATTCATTCCATTTTTTTTAATAAATCCAATTCAAAAGACTGCTTAAAGTTATAGATTATAACTCATGTCTAGGTGTCCCCAAAGCAGGAAATAAAAGAAGAATTCAGTATATAATATTAATCAGGTATGGGACAAGTAGTTTATTCCTTTCTTTTTTAAATTTATTTTATTCTGAACTTAAGAAATATAACAGGCATTTCCATAATATAGTAGACTAGAAAAAAGATGACTGTGCATGAAACTACAAATCTATTATGTACTACTTGCTATTCCTTTTAAATATATAATATGATTCAGGTATGGGACAAGTACTTTATTCCTGCACACAGAAGAAATGCTAAAAACAAAAACCTTAGAAGCATGTATTAACAGAACAAATTAAACAGGATTCAGATTTAATAAATTGACAGATTAGGAAACAGGATTAAACAAATTAAAAGGATTCAGTAACCTAACTTTTAACTACTGTTGCAATCTTCTGGGAGGCTGACATTTAATTGTGTCAGAACACAAAGTAGTATTAAGTGCTGTTGATTAGGCAGTTTACATTTTGCCTCTGCTCAGCACTTTCCTTATGACTCTTAGTGGCCATCCCCTACAAGGTATTAAAGTGGTTTCTGGGACCACCCCAGTGCTTCCATTCAATTCTAACTTTTAATGAGAACTCTAGACTTCTTGAACTCACAAGGTCACCTCCAGTCTTGGACACATCCACTTCAATATACTCATTCACGTAAGATCAGAAAAGAACAAACACAAAAAAGGGCAAAGGAAGCTATACACCTGGTGCAAACTCACTTCATTGTGGCACCTTGCATTAGTTGGCATATAGACAAAGTCACCATAATACTCAAGTAGAAGAAGACCCATCTTTCCCCACCCCTCACTGGAGTCCCATAAATGCCACTTGGAAAGTCACTGCCCGGGGACCCCTCAGGGTTTGGAAAGTCCTTTCAGCTCTAAGCTACCACTGTCCAGAAGAAGCCAGGAAGTTCATCATCTCCAAAAGCCCCCAAGCAATAAGTACCCATGTCCTTGGAGTCCCCAGAAATTTCTAGAGGAGCTCTGAGTACACACTTATAAGAAAGGATCCTGTAGGCCAGCTCAGCTTCTACTACACTATGACCCTATGAACTAACACATATCTGCATTTTTCTCTATTTCGTCCTGTCCATCTGCTTGTCAAATGAGTATATAAATTTCTTCCTTAAGCTTATTTCATCATCATAAAATGATCATCTACATTGGTGATTCATTTTCAAATCCATGCTTAAGCCTCAGAAATATTTGATTTTCCTAGTAGTTTCCTCAGCTATAAAATTAGGGACTTGGCAAGATTGCAATGGTCTCATTCAGCTCAAAAGTTTTGTGATTCTCTAAAAAATACCAATGTCTATTTATATTGTTCAAATACCATGATTCTGCCAAAAAAAAATTTCTACTTTTTGTTTCAATGCTTCAATTAACGTAATGGTTCTCTCATTCAAAAATTAAAATGTCCCATTTCTGTCTATATTTATAAATGCATCATCATCCTTCCCACTAAGTATAAAAATTTTCTTAATTCTTTATAGATATTGAAGTAGCCTAGTCAATATATACATTGAATGGGCAGCTTATGCATACAGCGCGTTTTTGTTGTTGTCGGGTATGGTTTTTTGTTTGTTTTGGTTTTTAGTTTTTTGTAAACTGAGATTGTAGACTCCCTGAATCTTAGAGCCATTAAAGCCAAACTCCTCCTTTTACAGATGAGGAAAGTGAGACCTGCACAAATTAAGCTGTTTATGCATGCTGGCAACTGCTTGTCATGGGCAACTGCATTTGAGCAAGGGCATTCCCATAAACACTAGGGTTTACTTCCATCAGTTTTATGAATATAGAAGGGTACACATCAAAGAAGTGAAGATGGAGAGACGTACGAAGCAGAATCCTTTTTGATTAAGTCAGTAAAGGAAATACTAAATATATCTATCTATCTATCTATCTATATATATATATGTATATCCATCCTATCTCCTAATTCTCTACTTGAGGGAAGGGGGTACTCAGAAGGTGCCATAAGTTCTGTCTGTGTCAACCATATGTCAAGGAATACTACAGAAAAACTGCTAATAAGATATGAGGTTGTGTTAACATAGTGTCCAGAATATGGAAGAAGACAGTCTCAATATAATCTACCCTGATCAGACCCATTTATGTAATATTGGTGTTTAGTATTGTACCACTTTAAGGAAAAGATGTTGACTAAAATCTGACCAGGGGAAGGTGCCCAGGATGGTGAAATAGGTAAAATATGCATAGGATTCACTGAAGGAACTGAAGATATTTGACTTGGAAGACTTAGGGCAAATATTTTGTTATTGTTGTTAAGTTGTTTTTAGTCATATCTGACTCTCCACGAGCCCATTTGGGGTTTTCTTGGCAAAGATACTGGCATGGTTTGCCATTTCTTTCTCCATCTCATTTTACAGATGAGAAAACTGAGGCAAACAGGTGACTTGCCCAAGGTCACACAGCCAGTCGGTGTCTGAGGCCAGATTTTGAACTCAGGAGGATGAGTCTTTCTGACTCCAGATCCAGCACTCTCTCCACTGCGCCATCTAACTGTCCCTGCAGATACCATAGCTGCCTATAAATACATGAAAAGCTGGCCTCCGGAACAGAAATTACACTTGTTCTGCCTGGGCGGTAGGAACAATGAGTGGAAGTTGCAGACAGGCAAATTTCAGTTGGATGTAAATAAGATCATTCTAACAGAGCTGTTATTAAGAAGGCAGGTGGTTCTCCCTCCATGGGTGACCATGTGTAAGAGAGGTTGGGCAACGCATTCAACAGCTCTGGTTGAGAGATTCCTTCCAATTCTGAGACTGCAATTCTGTAAAATGACCTTGGTTGTTCACTCTCCAGCCCAATTCATTCTTTTCCTTAGCAACGACTGTCAATACTTTTGTAGACAGAGCTTAGGGACACTTTGGGGTACAAGTCACAAGGCTTGAATTTCAAAATTCCTCTACAAAGTTAGGGAAGGGAAAAACTTGTAGACTGAAAATACTAAATCAAATTTATATAACACTTTCAAGTTTGCAAAAACTTTCCTCATTATAGATTTGTGAGGTAGATATTGCAAGTATTATTATTTTCATTTTATAGATTAGGAAACTGAGGCCAAGAAGATTAAGTGACTTAACCAGGGTCACAGATGCAATAACTGTGAGAGCTGGAGTTTGAAGTCACATCTCTCCTGATCCCAAGACCAGCACTGCAGCACTATTTCTATATCATGCTACCTCTCACTAAATATATTATGGCTTAAAACCCTTAGATTGATATTATTTAATTTAATTATTTAATGGCAAATCTTCATTTGAAGATCACCAACTTGTTGCTAAGTCACCTGGGTAAGCAGGATTCTAAGATGTAGGTTGAAGATCATCAGTCCCAATCACTCTAATATAATAAATGAAAAATTTGTGCATACCTTTTAAAATCAGAAGTAAAGTACTCTGGTAGTAGTTATTTATTTTCTCTTTGGATCCATTTCTCTATTTGAGTGACTAAGTATAGGGTGAGGGTTCATAGATTCAAAGATCATTTTGTTATAGAACCTGAAAGTTGATATAGTCGTTAAAAGTTCAATGTCAGTTTGGCAGACAGTCTAGTGCCCTAGGGCATCTTGGTCCAATATTGTTTAATATTTTTTATCAGTAACAAGGGCAGAGAGGGCGCCCTTACCCACGCCATAAAGCTGTGTGACAGCT